ATTGTTTTTCTGGGGAGGGTCCCGGGGCGAATTGGGGGCGGAGCTTGACGGTTATTGGGTACTTGGGGGCGGGACCTAGCGGTTACATGGGGTGCCAGGGGTGGGGCCTGGAGTTATGGGGAAGAATTGAAGCAGAACCTGGAGGGCCAGGTTATGGCGCGGGGTTTGGAAAGTATAGGGTGTTAGAGACTGGGCGAGGACTTTGGGAACGGACCTAGGGATTGTTTGGGAGTCCCTGTGGTGAAGCCTTTGAGTTTAGGCTGGGCCTGGAGGTTCAAGAGGCAAATTGGGAGCGTGGTGTGGAAAGCAAAGATTGAAGGGGATGGGGAAGGAAGGCTTTGGGGGCAGAACTTAAAGTGTTGAAGGGGCTTGTAGGTGGGGCCTTTCCCCAACTTGTCTCCCTAACTCTGCCAAAGGTAGCCCCACCAGTGCCCTAACCTAAGGATAGATCCAGGGTCTGATCTCTTCGTGCATTTTCCACTGCTCACCTGGACCAGTGCAGTCACCTCACCCCATACCCCAGCTGCACCCTGCAGACAGCAGAGGTGTCCTGTTGAAATATAAGCCTTCCTGGGGCTTCTATGTGACGCACGGTGAAAGCCCACAGGACCCTGCACGACCTGCCCTGTCACCTCCCACCCTCATCCCAATAACCAGGCCACTCCTTAAATACCCCAGGCTCAGTACTCCCTCTGTGCCTTTGCACTGGCTGTTCCCTCCACTTGCAATACTTTTCCCAGACATCTGCATGCCTCTGTGTTTCCCTTGCATCTATGCTCGTGTCTTTTCCCTATGAGGCCTCCCTGGTCCTCTGTATTTAAAATGCCCCTCCCCTTTCACACACACACACATAAAACCCAAGAGCAGGGATTGGGTCCTTTTCATTCCTTGTGGTGACCCAACATCCAGCATGGCATTCAGCATCTTGCAGACACATGGCAAAGGCAAGCCAGTCCTCCCTGTCACTCCCTCCTTCAGGTGTCATTCTCTTTCTCAGGTGACTACCCTTGGTGTGTAACCTGTGGCAGGTGGGCACAATGGATCTGGCTTACGTCTGCGAGTGGGAGAAGTGGCCCAAGAGCACCCACTGTCCATCAGTGCCCCTGGCCTGCGCCTGGTCCTGCCGCAACCTCATCGCTTTCACTACAGACCTCCGGAATGACGACCAGGGTGCATCCTTTCACCTCCAGCCCATCTCCCATTTCCTCTCCTCCCCTCCCCACACAGTGTTATACCCTTGGCTCCCGTGGTACTTGGCACACTGCCATGGGGTGATGCCAGGTCTTCAGCCTGCCTGAGGGCCACCTCCCACCAGTCCAGGCCCTTTCAGGCCTTCCTCATTCATAACTAGGGAGTGGTGAGGGCCTCAACATTTCAGGGGTGCAAAAGGCAGATGCATTTAAACTGATGGCTGCTGTCCTCAGTGAACCACCTCCCATTTAAATGGAGGCTGCTCTCCTCAGTGAGCCACCCATTTAACTGATGGCTGCTGTGATGGTGCTCTCCTACACCTGGGAGATTTTCTCCCATGGCAGACCACCTGGTGCTTGGGGGACACTGGGATCACACCTGCAGGATAGAAGAGGGGAAGAGGAGCATTTTACTCGGGCTTGTTAAAGATTCCTGCCTCAGTTTCCATACCTTACATTGTCACTTTACATATATGTGTGTGTGTGTGTATATATAATTGATATTTAGAGAGAGAGAGAGGGAGGGGGGAGAGAGAAACATTGATGCAAGAGCAAAGCATTGATCAGCCGCCTCCTGCATGCCCTCTACTGGGGATCAAGCCCACAACCCAGGCATGTGCCCTGACTGGGAATTGAACTGGCAGCCTTTTGGTGTGTCGGATGACGCCCAACCAACTGAGCTACACAAGCTACTTCTGACTTTTGAAAACCTCTAAGGTGCATGGCCACCACCGTCTTCTCTCCATCACTTGAGTAATGTGTGCTCTTTAGAGAAAATGAGAAAAGCACAGAAATTTAAAATAAAGAGAACCACATAAGCCTGCCCAGCATGGCTCAGTGGTTGAGCATCAACCTAGGATCCAGGAGATTGCTGTTCAATTCCCAATTAGGGCATATGCCTGGGTTGCGGGCTCGATCTCCAGCAGGGGGCATGCAAGAGGCAGCTAATCAATGATTCTCATCATTGATGTTTCTATCTCTCTCTCCCCCTTCCTTTCTGAAATCAATAAAAACATTTAAAAAAAAAGAAAGAACCACCTATTATCTTCCACTGAGAGAAGCCCACTGTTAGCATTTTGGGGTCATTCTCTTCCCATTCTGTTTCTGGGTTTCTTAAAAATGTGATTGTAGATACACTGGTGGCAAACTCACAGGCCTACTCTATTTCCCAAGGGAGCACAAGCCTGTTCCTCGTTAGTGAGCAGGCTGTCTATATGGTCAGCAGCATCTCCACGACTTCCTTGTGGGTGAGACATTTCCTGGGTCCTTCCCTGGTTTCCTCCATGACTTCAGGGCCATGTCATCATCACTGTACTGACCATGCTCCATCCCCTGCAGACCTGACCCGCCTGATCCACATCCTGGACACGGAGCACCCCTGGGATGTGCACTCCATCAGCTCGGAGCACAGTGAAGCCATCACCTGCCTTGAGTGGGACCAGTCAGGTGAGGGTGGCGCTGGTGGGGTTGGTAGGGTCCTTTGTGGCCAAAGGAGATCATGGTGATGCTCACTCTTGACCCTGAATCCCAGGGAGATGTGTTCTGTATTTTCTTGGTCCTGTCCTGAGTCAGAACTGGGACTCAAACCTTTGACTTAATGACTTTGGGGCTACTGTTCTTCCTGTGCCTGTTTTCAGAGCCATTTCCACATCAAGCCTCATGCCACTCCCCTGGCTCCACCTCTACTGGGCTGATTTCTCCCAGGCCCTTGATGCACATGGGGTGATAGTCCCTGTCCATGGTGGGGTTTTGTGATGCAGATTTGCTCCCTACAGGCTCCAGGCTCCTGTCAGCTGATGCCAATGGGCAAATCAAGTGTTGGAGCATGGCGGACCACCTGGCCAACAGCTGGGAGAGCCCTGTGGGAAGCCTGGTGGAGGGGGACCCCATCGTGGCCCTGTCTTGGCTGCACAACGGTGTGAAGCTGGCACTCCATGTGGAAAAAGTAGGTGTATGCCTGAGTATGTGTGGTGGACAAGACCATTTACTTTATCCGTCCGTCTGTCAGCTTGGCTCTTCTTCTCCCACCACCAGCATCCTGTAAGGTTATTGAGCCTGGGACCTGGCTCACACCTTCGATCAAGCTGTCAGTTGGCACTTGTGTTTTCAATGACCCACATATTTAACTGATGGCTGCTTTCCTCAGTGAATCTCCCGTGTAACTGGTGGTTGCTGTACTAAGAACCTAGTCCACACTTTATTCCAGAATTCTTTGCTTTATACTCTGTGGTTCAGCCCACTGTCATAGTTAAGACTGGGAGCCTCCTGGGTCAAGGGGCACTTGAGTTCAAATCCTGACTTCATGCCTCTGTATATCACTTAGCTTATTATCAAGTGAGGTTGGTGGTGGGTCATGATGAGGATTCATTGAGAGAATGCATGAAACGTTTCAGCCTGGGGCTTGGCACAGGTCAGAGGCCCAGGAACCTGCATTCTCTTCCAGCTCACCAGAGGGGAACACCGATGCTGTCAGACCACTTAGAGAAACCCTGTGTAACCTCCAGCTCAGTGCCGTTTCAGTGATTAAACAGCACAGACAAAGCTCAAAAGTGTCATGCTGAGTGAAAGAAACCAGGCATAAAGGTTGCACACTGTTTCCACTCTGGTAAAGTTCTAGAAAAGGCAAAACTAATGACACAACCAGGGACCCGGGGTGGGGTGGATGGGGACTGACTGCTAAGGAACGTGAGGTCCCTTTTGAGGGAAGTGGATTCCGGTCACGGTCACGATTTTAGCTGTTTTCCATGACAATACGTTTGTTAAGACCCATGGAACCATATGCTTAAAAAATAGTGAATTTTGTTGCACTTAAATTGTAACTTAAACCTAATTTGACATAAAATAGTAATAAAATAGCAGCCAGTACTTTTATGGCACCTCCTGAATTCTTAACACAGGGGTCTGCACATTGCAGCCAGCAGGCCAAATGCAGCCACACCTGTTTCTGTGAACAGGCTTATCAGCAGCTGCTTCTACAGACTCAGAGAAAGAGCAAGTAGTCACAGCAGAGGTCACCTGGCCTGAAAACCTGAAAATACTGAGTGTCTGGCCCCTTCCAGGAAAAGATTGCTGACTCCTGACCTTCATGTGTTCAATCATTTGATCCTCACCATGGTCCTCTGAAGTTCAGCTGAGGAGACTGAGGGACAGAGAGGCCTATATCAAACAGTGTTCAAGTGGCTGAGGCAGGATTTGTTTTTTTGTGTTTGTGTTTTTGGGTTTTTTTTAAATGTTTTTATTGATTTCAGTGAGAGGAGGGGAGAGGGAGAAAGATAGAAACATCAATGATGAGAGAGAGCCATTGATCAGCTGCCTCCTGCACACCCCAAACTGGGGATTAAGTCTGCAGCCCGGGAACGTGCCCTGACTGGAAAATGAACAGTGATCTCTTGGTTCATGGGTTTACTCTCAACCACTGAGCCACGCTGGCCGGGCCAAGGCAGAATTTGAGTTCAAATCCGTGCTCTTGTACCTTCTGCGTCATTGTTCCTCTATTTCTGTGGGTTTGACTCCCAGAAGGGTGTTGTCGGGTCACAAGAGGCAGACCCCTAACCGCTCAGCGGGGCATCTTTCCTCATGCCCTAGTTGGGGGTGGCATCAATACTAAGAACCCTCACTCACTCTCCTGCAGTCAGGCGCTTCCAGCTTCGGGGAGAAGTTCTCTCGCGTCAAGTTCTCACCATCGCTCACACTGTTTGGGGGCAAGCCCATGGAGGGCTGGATTGCAGTGACGGTCAGCGGTCTGGTCACTGTGTCCCTACTCAAGCCCAGCGGGCAGGTGCTGACATCGACGGAGAGCCTATGTCGGCTGCGTGGCCGTGTTGCCCTGGCTGACATTGCCTTCACGGGTGGTGGCAACATCGTGGTAGCCACGGCAGATGGCAGCAGTGCCTCCCCCGTGCAGTTCTACAAGGTGTGTGTGAGCGTAGTCAGCGAGAAGTGTCGCATTGACACCGAGATCCTGCCCTCGCTCTTCATGCGCTGCACCACTGACCTCAACCGCAAGGACAAGTTCCCTGCCATCACCCACCTCAAATTCCTGGCCCGGGACATGTCTGAGCAGGTGAGGCCATCTGGGATGTGGCTACAGTGCCACACACTTCTTATCTCCAGTCCTGGATTGGAAGTCTGACATGGGTCTTACATGGCTAAACCCAGGGTTAGTCAGGGCTGATCCTTCCAGAGACTCTAAGAAAAACCTCTGGCCTTTTCCAGCTTCTAGAGGTGCCGTATCCCTGCTTTGTGTCTCCTTCCTCCATCATCACAGCCAGTAGCACAGCCTCTTCCATCTCTGACCTTTCTGCCTCTCTCATAGGAGGATCCTGTGATGACACTGGGCTCCCCAAGGAATCCAGAATTGTCCTCACCTCAGAGTCCTTGAATTAATCCCACCTGCAAAACCCCTTTATTGTGTGAGGTGACATGTCCACAGGTCCTGAGACCAGGACAGGGACATATTTGGGGCTGTTGTTCAGCTGACCCCACTAGGTCACTATGTTCCCATCGTAACTATGCAGCAGTAAGGCCCAAAGCACCAGGGAGGGCACCATTGGGGTGGTGTGTGCTGTTCCAGCAGGGTGGCAGATAGGCCTGGGTTTGAGTCCACAGCAGCTGTGAGGTCGGGGCCAGTGTGAGCTACTGAGGAAACGGAGGCTCAGGGAGGGGAGGTGGCTAGATCAGCCAGGCGAGCACCTGAGTCTGGGTTAGAGTGAGCACCTCCCATAAGGTTTGGATGCCCAAGGTGCTGCCTTCTCATCCAGTCACCCACCGTTCCCCAAGGTACTTTTGTGCGCTTCCAGCCAGACGAGCAGCATCGTGGAGTGCTGGTCCCTGCGGAAGGAGGGGCTCCCTGTGAACAACATCTTCCAGCAGATCTCTCCTGTGGGTGAGTCCCCTCCGTGGAGCCTGGATATTTGACTTTTAATTTAGGGAAACTGAGGCTCAGAGAAGTGAAATCCTTACTCATAGTTACCCAATAGGCAGCCCGACTACCTACCCTGAAACCTGTGGGGAGCATGGGATTGGTGGAGGAACAGCAGTGCAGAAGTCCTGGGACACAAGGCCAGGAGCTGGAGCCAGCTCCGCAAGGAGGCAGGGGCTTCAAGGAGGCACTTAATCCTAAAAGCCATGGAATCTTCCAGAAACCCTGGTTTAGGGTGAAAAAAGAGGCTGGAGGAGCTAACTGAGTTTGCCAATAACATACTCACCTGCTCACCTCCCTCTCCCCTATCCTTATACCCACCGGGATACCCCATGGCTCAGGATGACTCACGCCCCCCTCAATACAGGCCCTGGGATGCATTGCCTGGCCTAAAATCAGTAGGAAGCTGGAAAAGCCACTGGTTTTCATTCCCTGATGGTGGAGCTGTGGGGAGTAAACCCTGACCCAAGACACAGATGCAGATGTTTTCCTGGCAAAAGAAAGCTCTGCTTTTTACTGATTAGTGCTAATGGACCCTGGGGTGATTGGATGTTGGGGGACGGTGGCACTAAAGAAAGCCATTAATGAAGCCATGTCAAGAGGCCCCTCGAGGCTCAGAGGCTCCATTTGCTGCTCAAGGTGGTTACATAAGCTGTCCATTGTGGCTGCAGAGTAATTAATGTGAAGAGGGCCACAATGCCCTGTCCCTGGACAAGCATCCCGGGAGAGCTTTTAGACGGTGGCTGGTGGCCCCACAGGGGGCAGGCAGGACTGTATCAGCACCTCAGTGTGCACCAGTCGGGGAAGGGAGAGTTTAAATGTTGGGCACAGTTCCCAGCCCACAAACCCTCCCTGGAAATCTGCTGTGGTTGTTACCTTTATACTCTGTAGTGTCTTCCATCCAGACACTGAATTCCACTCTGACCTCCCTGGGCTTCAGTTTCCTCTGGAGGGCAGCATTTGCCGAGACTCCCTTACTGGGTTTGCAGCAAGGTTATAAACTGTGAGGAGCCACCAGGGCACAAATCTGGACATAGATGGTGGCAGAGATGAGCCCTCTGACAGCTTTGTTGTGTAACAAACTAGCCCCAAACTCAGGCTCAAAACCACAGCCCATATTATTCTGGGCCTCAGCTGCACCTACTTGGTTCCTTGTGCCTACCATCAGCCTCTGGGCTCGGGCTGCTGACCACCACCTGGGCCCATCCTCCCATGGTGCATGCCCCCACAGCCCAACCTGCTCACCTCAGTTTCCTGGGTACAGCACTGTTTGATCCTTTGCTTATATCATGTTCATCAGCTCCCACTAGCCAAGCCCAGATTCACGGAAATCATTCCACTTCTTGGGGGGCTTCATCATCATGCTGAGGGTGTGGGTATAGGGAGGGAATGCATCTTATCTGATGAGGAGAGCTGGGGTTCCACTTAGGATCTCTTACATCATAAGGGACAAAACTGAATCCAAGCTGGCTGAGTCACAAGGGGAGTTTTGGGGTTTGTGTGGCAGCAGGATCTAGATGGTGGCATTCCCCTTTTCAGTGTGTTGGGTCCATCAAGTGGACACACACTACTGCCAGCTGACAGCTTCCTGGAGAATGCCTCCTCCCTGACCCCAGGAAGTCCCAGGACTGGGTTCTGTTGGCCACCTTGGGTCATATGCCCGACCTGCACCAATCAGCTGGCTGGTACTTAGTGCTCTGAGTGGCCAGGGCTGGGGTAGGGCCCCTGGTTGGGGACAGGCACTGGGATCAGAGAAGGGGGCTTGGCCAGTGTCCCCTTTGGGGCCCACCACTGTGGTGTTTGTCTTGTCCTCATTCCATTACTGTCCTGTGTCCCTGCCTCTATTTCAGTTGGCGATAAGCAACCCATGATTCTCAAATGGCGGATCCTGTCGGCTACCAACGACCTAGACCGAGTGTCTGCTGTGGCACTACCCAAGCTACCCATCTCACTCACCAACACTGACCTGAAGGTGGCCAATGACACACAGTTCTACCCTGGCCTCGGTATGGTGGGCTTGGAGTTCAGGGCTTGGGTCTTAGGGGCAGGGGAGCTGCCTCCTGGCCTCAAGTCAGTTCCCAGCAAGGAAGTGGCCCTGGTTTCAGGATCCAACAGTCTCAAAGGACTGTGAGGCTGGCTGATGAAAAGCTGTATCTTTAACATGTAAAGAGCTGTTAGAAATCAATAAGGTAGGGAAACTTGAGGACAAACTTTCCTTGTTGTAGCTGCTGAGACATTGATCCTGAGTTCTGTTTCTGGAGCCTGTGACCATGAGGCAGGAAACACGGATGGCTAACAGTCAGCCCCCAACCCTGTTACACATTCATTACAAGCTTTGGGCTCAAGGAGCCCCGACCTCACTGACCTCTGTTCCTGCCATGAGGCCCTTTGTGTGCTCCTGTCCCCTCCACTTTGTCCCCCTGAGAGTTATGTGTTTGCTCACATCAGCCAAAACGTAGTGCCAGCTGCAAGGGAGCCAGGAATATGCAGCCTGAGCTGGTGATGACTTGTTCCACTGACTCTAATGGGCTGTTAGCAAAGGAAGAGGGGGTAGTGGCTATGGGGGCAGCCAGCCAGACACGGAGTAGTGGGTTCTTTGTGGCTTGGGACTCACCCATCCCCAGGGCAGTCACTTTTCATTGTTCAGAGCTGGGCAGCTCCACAGCCACCCATGGGTGTGTTCCTGCACCTGACCCTGCATGTGCTCTGCCCCTAGGGCTAGCCCTGGCCTTCCATGATGGTAGCGTCCACATCGTGCACCGGCTGTCACTGCAGACCATGGCCATCTTCTATAGCTCCACAGCTCCACGCTCCATGGATGAGCCAGCTATCAAGCGCCCTCGGACCACGGGCCCCACTGTCCACTTCAAGGCCATGCAACTGTCTTGGACCTCCCTGGCCCTTGTGGGCATCGACAACCATGGGAAGGTAAGTGCTGTCCCAGGTACTCCAAAGCTGCCTACTCAGTGTGTGTGTGTGAGGAGCAACCTCCACCCCATCCATGGCTTCCCTGGAGGAAATGGGCTCCATCTAGTCACTGTCTGGCACATGCCACTTGTTTTTAGCTCCACCTCAATCCTGGACCATTTCCTCGGCACCTGCATGTGGGGATTGTCTGCCATTCCACAGGCCTGTCCTTTCATGAGGTGCTCAGCTTCCCTGGGGAACCATGTCTGTGCCTGGAGGGATTCTGCCCCCCCATGGTTTGTGTCCATCATGGAGCCTAAATGAAGGGTCCAGTAACCCCAAATGTGCCTGCAGGTATAGGGCGGCCTCTTGGGCTGTTTTTGGGAAGCACTGTACAGCTCCCTCAAGCCCATTAACACTTCCACATGCCAGGCTCTGACTGCCCACAGGGCAGCAGGACCATAAGGTCCAGGAAGGAAGCATGGTGCCTGGAGCCTTAGGTGAAGGTAGGAACCTCATCCGTCTAGTGCTCCCTCTGAGGCCTAACCAGCTGTTCCCTCTCCCACAGCTGAGCATGCTACGCATCTCACCCTCCATGGGCCACACACTGGATGTGAACCTGGCCCTGCGGCACTTGCTTTTCCTGCTGGAGTACTGCATGGTAACCGGCTATGATTGGTGGGACATCCTGCTGCACGTGCAACCCACCATGGTGCAGAGCCTGGTAGAGCGACTGCACGAGGAGTACACGCGACAGAAAGCTGCCCTTCAGCAGGTAGCCGGGGGCCACGTGCCATCACCTGACAGAGGATGCCCCCTCCCTTTTACCTAGTCCTTCATCTGGAGAGTTTTCTGTAGGAAGTCAGAGCCCTGCAGGTGACATGTAAACCCCTGGGGCCACCACTTCTGCTGCTAGTGGGGGCTGTCTTCTCAAACAGCTCAGAGTGCATGAGTGTGCGTGCATGCGAAGCTGGGGGCCTCACACGCATGATGAGATAGGAGCAATAAATAGACTTAAAGATCTGAGAGGAAGAAAGGACAGTGACCAGGTGACAAGAAACCACTAGCATCTGAGAGGGGCCCTTAACTCCATCGTGAGTTCACCATGGACGCTGCATAGAGAACATTTTCAGAAGTGGGTAGCTTTCCTCTGCCAGCAATGACCAGTAAAACAGTAAGATGGGGATAAAGGTTCCCTTCACAAGAGCAGTCTGATAGGATATGAGTGAGATTATTAGGGAGGATATGAGGATGTAGCAGGGGTTCAGAACTGATCACGGTGGAAATCAAATCACTGTGTATGGGCCCTAACCCGAAGCTTTATAATACTTTAGTGCATTCACCAGTCCCACGAGACCAGATCTCCCCTCGGCACTGCTGACACCTGGGCCAGGTCTCTGTGGGGAAGAAGCTGTCCTGGGCAAAGTGGGATGTTGAGCAGCATCCCTTGCCCCCATCCACTTAATGCCAGGAACACCCCAGGATGACAACCACAGATGTCCCCAGACTAGGCCCTAGTGTCCTCTGGGAGCAGGGCTACTGCCAGGTTAACACCCCACCCATCCTGTGAGATAGGTTCTCTTATCTGATTCTACCATAAGGAGGTAAGGCACAGAGACAGACGCAGATTGCCTCAACTTGCCCAGCCCAGCTACACACTGTGGCAGAAGTGTCTTCCCCAGGCCCCTCAGGTGGATGTCCTACTCATGCTGCCCCCCCCCCCCAGGTCCTTTCCACCCGGATCCTGGCCATGAAGGCTTCTCTCTGCAAGCTTTCCCCCTGCACCGTGACCCTTGTGTGTGACTACCATGCCAAGCTCTTTCTCATCGCCATCAGCTCCACGCTCAAGTCCCTGCTGCGCCCGCACATCCTCAACACGCCCGACAAAAGTCCCGGCGACCGGCTAACTGAGATCTGTGCCAAGATCACAGATGTTGGTGGGTCCCACCTCCACTCAGTAGTCCACCCTGAGAGCTGCCGCACATGCAGGGTTATGTGCGGGAATGTCCTAAATCCCACTGAACACTGTCCACTGAGGATTTATTGTGTGCCAAGCATGGGGGTGATACCTGAAGGAGGTGGAGGCATTGGCCCTCAGGGCTGCCCTGGAGCTGGGGACAGATGTTAACCAGAGGGGAACCAAAGATCAGTCAGGTTGAGTCCCATCAGCCATGCTGGGGAGGAGCTGTAAGGGGCCTACCACAGGTTGGCCCAAGGGACATTGGGGTTGTCCTAAGAGCTGGCCGTGGACACTCCATTGCTCTGAGTCCAGCCCTTTCCTCCAGGGTCCCCAGTTCAGCCATCTTACCCACTTGCTTGTTCACGGCGTTGGGTTCACCTCGTCCAGGCCCAGCTCACAGTGGGTGCTATTGGGTAATGAGAGATCCCAGGTGCAAAGTAGGGTTGGTTCTTGTGCATGGTGGGGCCTGGCCACCCCTAACCACCCTCCCCTTCCAGATATAGACAAGGTCATGATCAACCTCAAGACGGAGGAGTTTGTCCTGGACATGAACACACTTCAGGCCCTGCAACAGCTCTTGCAATGGGTGGGCGACTTTGTGCTCTACCTGCTGGCCAGCCTGCCCAACCAGGTGTGCTCCCTCCCCAAAGTTCCCTCCCCCAGGACCCATGGAGGTCCTAGGATGCGGCACACATTTAAATACTCAGCCCAAATAACTTTTCCTACAGGGTGCTCCACTGCGGCCTGGACACAGCTTCCTGCGGGATGGCACCTCGCTCGGCATGCTGAGGGAGCTGATGGTCGTCATCCGCATCTGGGGCCTCCTGAAGCCCAGCTGCCTGCCTGTGTACACGGCCACCTCTGACACCCAGGACAGCATGTCTCTGCTCTTCCGCCTGCTCACCAAGCTCTGGATTTGCTGTGAGATGCCCAGCCCTTTGTTCCCTGCACCCCACCAGCATATGAACCCTAGCTGAGTCCCCCCCACCAGAATATAAGCTTCCACAAGTTTAACTGGCTCTGTTTTGGTCTCCACTGTTTATCCAGCACCAGCACAGATCCAAGCACAGGGTGGGTGCTCATTAAACATTAGCCATTATTAGGCTAATAATACTTTACCTGGTGGCTTGTCTCACATCACCAGGCTGTGTATTTCTGGAGGTCCAGGTTCTTTCCTTCTTGCAGCCCTGTTCCCAGGAAGGCACCCAGTGCTCACTGAATGTTTTTCAAATGAATGATTGGGTTCCCGTTTTGCAGAGAAGACTAAGGCCAGAGACCAGCAGGAGCTTCTAGGGTAATTCAGAAAGTCAGGTTAGAGCTGGGCCCAAATATCTGGTCCCTGAGCTCCAAGCTGATCATGACATCCCCATGGTCCCTCTCTGCAGGCCGTGATGAGGGCCCCACATGTGAGCCAGATGAGACGCTCGTTGATGAGTGCTGCCTCCTGCCCAGCCAGCTGCTCATCCCCAGCTTGGACTGGCTGCCTGTCAGTGACGGCCTGGTCAGCCGCTTGCAGCCCAAGCAGCCCCTGCGTCTGCACTTTGGCAAGGCTCCCAGTCTCCCCGGCAGTGCCACCACCTTGCAGCTGGATGGCCTTATCAGGTGCGTGCCCTCTGCCTCGGGCCCTTTGCATGTTCCTTCTAGAAGGTTCCCCCCAAACCTACCTGACTCCTTCATGCCTCTGCTCGGGGCCTTTGCATGTGCTGGACTTGCTGCTTCCTTCTGAGCTTGACCTAAATGCTGTCCCTAGGAGATATCCCTTGCTTAGGCACTAAATTCCCCTCGCCTCCCAGTACCTGTCACTTCCCTCCACCATCACCTCAATCTTTACTGATTTGCGCACTTGAGTATCTGTGTAAATCCTCCTCTCCCTGGTCTGTCACCTCTTACATGCAGTGCCTACATGGCTGACTGTAGTTACTCAGGCTCCGGCCTCTACAGAGGTGAGGCTGATACATGGCTTGAGCCCCCCACTGTAAATCATACCCAGCCTGGCCCAAGGCCCTGGTGGGCACTAAATCAGGCAGGACCTTCGCAGGGATGAGGGTAACTTCTACAGTCAAGGGCCAGCCCTGTCTTTGGAACAGGGGTCTGGATAGCCCAAGCCTATTAAGTTAACCCTTTATTGCCCACAGTACTGTGGGGTGGGGTGGGGTTTTGTCACCATCTCAAAGGCAAATGAACAGCTCAAAAAGGTGCAGTCACACCCTGGCCAGTGTGGCTCAGTTGTTTGGGCATCGTCCTGTGCACCAAAAGGTTGCTATTCGATTCCCAGAAGGGGACATGTAGGAGGCAGCCAGTCACACTCTCACATTGATGTTCCTATCTCCCTCTCCCTTTCCTTTCCTCTCTCTATAAAAATCAATAAAAAGGCCTGGCCAGTGTGGCTCAGCAGTTGATCACTGACCAATGATCTAGGAGATCTCAGTTCGATTCCCAGTTAGGGCACATGCCCAGGATGCAGGCTTGATTTTCAGTAGAGGGTGTGCAAGAGGCAGCTGATCAATGACTCTCTCATCATTAATGTTTCTTTCTCCCTCTCCTTTTCTCTCTCTCAGAATATATCAGTATATAATATGATATGATATGGTATGATAATATAACATATAAAACATAATATAATGTAACATATTAATATTAAATATGTCAATAAAGATATTTTAAAATTTAAAGAAAAAAAATTAATAAAAAGCCCTGGCTGGTGTGACTTAGTGGTTAGAGCATTGGCCTGTGCACCAGAGGGTCAGGGGTTCAATTCCTGGTCAGGGGCATGTACCTTGGTGGTGGGTTTGCTCCCTTCCCCCAGTGGGGGCTTGTTCGGGAGGCAACCGGTCAATGTTTCTCTCTCTCTCTCTTTCTCTATCCTCCCCCCCTCCTTCCCTTCTACTCTCTCTGAAAAGCAATGGAAAAAATACCCTCAGGTGAGAATGAACAACAATAACAAAAAAATCTATAAAAGAAATATTTTAAAAAGCAAAAAATAACAACAAAAAAGGTGCAGTCATTAAGCCAGAGTCACAGCCAGGATGTGGCTGGGCCACCATCTGCACCGGGACCCATCAGGCTTCCACCCCTGCTTAGTGCTCTTTTAATGGAGAAACACACGTGACCTCACTGAGTATCCTTTTACTTTGGATGGAAGTTTCAGAAACCAGATGAGTAAGCCCTGGCTGAGTGGCTCAGTTGGTTGGTTGGATCATTATCTCACACACCAAAAGGTTGCAGGTTTGATTCCTGGTCAGGGCACATACCTAGGCTGTGGGCTCAATCCCTGGTCAGAGGCCACTGATCAATGTCTCTCTCTCCCCCTTACCCTCTAAAAAAAATAAATATATCCTTGAGTGAGAATAGAAAAATAATAGATGAGTAAAAGGAAGATTGTTCACACCCTGTGAGCCCAGCTCTGGGACCTCCCTACATTTCCTTTCTTGTGTCACGGTGAGACACAGCCTGATGAATCATAGGCTTCCCTCTGTGTTTGGGTCTGAATGAGTATGCTGGTTCCAGGGAGGTTTTGAACTCTTTGTTTTGGAAACTTTCAAACATGTTTTACATGAATATAACCAACTGTCCTGCCCCAGTCACCAGGTCTACTCCTATGGGGGCTCCCACTATCAGGTTCTCTGGTGTCATCCAGGGGGTCTGGCACCATCCAGGGTGGGGTGTCTCTGTGAGTAGAGGGAGTGTAGATGCACATCTACACACTCCCTTGTGTTTTGTCACAGTGGCTGTGTGACACGTGTATGCATCTGTGTTCATATGTGTATATGTGTGTGCATGAATTTATATGCATGAATTTGTGTTCACATGTGCATGCATCTCTCTGTGTGTTTGTGTGTGCTGTGGGGTGGTAGTCTGATCCCCTCTGCTCTCCCCTCTCACCTGCCAGGGCAACGGGCCAGCCCAAGATCGACCACCTGCGGAGGCTGCACCTGGGAGCCCACCCCACAGAGGAATGCAAGGCCTGTACAAGGTGAGCCACCCACTATGGACCCTTTGTCAGTCATGCAGCAAATACTGTTCCCACTCTGCCACCCAGTGACTTGGAATAAGAGGTTTCTCCTCTGTGACCCATTTTCCCTACTTGTGGGGCTGTTGAGAGGGCATACCAGGCAGTTTCTATAAGGACCCAGCTACCTTGGGAGGTCCTGGGCTTCCCTTCCTGGGGCATCAATAGTTATCAGGTGACCACACAGCCCTTGCAGAGCTCCCAGTAACCCAAGTGCAGGAATGAAGGAACAATCACAGCAGTTTGAGACCCAGCCCTGCACTGGCCCTTTCAAACGTGGCCCTGATGGCTGCCACAGAACCCCAGGCGCAGGTTCTGACTCCTAGGGTCACACCACTGGGGAGTGTCCAAGCAGGTCTGGAACTTCTACCCCTGCTTTATCCACTCAGCGAGGTTGAGGGGGCAATGCCTGAGCCTGGATTGGAGGATGTGAAGGAGTTAGCTCAGTGTGGGGGGTAGTGCAGGGAATAGCATTTCTGGTGGGGGAACAGCATGTATAAGGGCTCCATGGCAGGTGGGAGAGGGCCCTGCCTAGCACCCGCTCCCACCCACTCTGCCTGCAGGTGTGGCTGTGTTACCATGCTCAAGTCACCCAACAAGACAACAGCCGTCAAACAATGGGAACAGCGCTGGATCAAGAACTGCCTGTGTGGGGGACTCTGGCGGCGGATGCCCCTCAGCTGCCCCTGACTGGGGCCCCCAAGCCCTGTAAATAGATTCCTAATGGATTTTATAGGAAGGTGATCCCTTCGTCAGTGACAGCATTCCACATACTCAGGATCTTTATTGGATGCATTAAAAAATAGTCATCCTCTCCCTAGCTGGTTTGGTTCAGTGGTTAAGAGCGTCGGCCAGTGGACTGAAGGATCCTGGGTTCGATTCTGGCCAAGGGCACATACCTTGGTTGTAGGCTTGATCCCCAGTCCTGGTTGGGGCGTGTGCAGGAGGCACCAATCGATGTTGTCTTTCACATCGATCTTTCTCTCTCTCTCTCCCTTCCACTCTCTCTGAAAAGCAATGGAAAAAATATCCTCCAGTGAGGATTAAAAATAAATAAACTGTCTTTTTAAAAAAAAGAAAAAAAATAGTCATCCTTGGCCCTGGCTGGGTAGCTCAGTTGGTTAGAGCATCATCCCTGTACACCAAGGTTGGGAGTTTGATCCCTGGTCAGGGCACATACAAGAAACAGCCAAGGAATGCATAAATAAGTGGAATAACAAATTGATGTTTCCCCCACTCTCTTCCTCTCTCTCTAAAAATCAATCAATTGAATAATTTTTAAAAAAATCATTCTTCAAGTGCGACTTTCAGGGCCTCATCAGCCAAGGCCAGCATTGCTGTGAGGTGGAGCAGGTGAAGACATGGCCTGAAGCCTCAGGTTGGTGCCCCTCAGCCCAGTGGATCCACTTTTGCTCTCTCTGGACCTAATGGTGTATCCCAGGAAGTGGGACCCCATTTCACAGCTGCACCTCTATACATGCTGTGTGCGGACTAAAACAGACCCAGGCCTTCCTCACATGTCTTTCATGGCTCAAGTGCTGACTTCCCAGAACCTCCAGGCCCCACCACTCTCAGATGCCCCTGGTCACAGTTCAGAGGGTCCAGGATATTCTGGGTGTCAGTCCTTTAAAATGTCCCATGTGAGCCCTGGCCACTGTGACTCGGTTGAGCATGGTCCCATGAGCCAAAAGGTGGCTCGTTTGATTCCCAGGTTGCGGGCTAGATCCCTGCTAGGGGCGTGCAGGAGGTAGCCGAGTAGTGTTTCTCTCTCACATCAATGTTTATCTCTCTCTCTCCGTCTCCCTTCCCCTTTCTCTACAATCAATGAAAACATATTTAAAAAATAATAACAAAATGTCCCATGTGAACCTATTAGGTGTCCAGTGGTTGCTGCTGACACCCACCAGACATCTTCCTCTGTTTCCTCATCTGTACCTACTGATGTTGTACCTGCTCATGCAGAGGTGGCGCTCTGTAGGATGTAGGGTGGCTGGTGCATGGCCATGTGGTGGGCATTACCCCAGCATTCCCCTACCCCCAAGTCCTACCCAATCCCGACTCCCCCTCCGCCATCATGCATTTCTAAGAAATTCTGTCTCCATGTGCCCATATGTGTCGCTCTTGCTCTATCAGTATTTATGGAGTGCCTAGTATATTACTTCAGGCACAACGATCCCACAGGGACCTGCAGACTGGGCTTGGGTGAGGACTGTGCCCAACCTGCCCAGCTTTTCTGTAGGTGGGTGGGTTTCTGCCTCATCTGTCTCTGAGTGTGTGTCTCTCTCCTTGCTCTGTCTTTGTCTCCTTGACCCACCCCTCAACCCAGAGCAGCTTAAGCCTCATCTCCAAGGGGTCCCACCTACTGCTGCCAGCAGGCACTTTCCCTAGTTATGTCCCACACCCCTGTGGAAGATGCAGTGGCCTGCCTTAGTGGTAATTGGTTCTCATGTTTTTCTTCTGGAAGCTCAAGGGAGGCAGGCCAGGTGGGCATCCCAGAGAAGGTAATGCCTTTGCTACTGCACAGGCACTTGTTGGCCTCTCAGGATGGCAGGAGCTCAGGGAGCCCCTTACCTGGGCTAGGGACATGTTTAAAGCCCATCTACCATGGCTGCAGGACTCTGACAGTGTCCAGTTCTAAGTTTGATCAGTGTGGTCTAACTGGTGCTTTCCACAGGGACTTGAGGCTCCTGGGTCAGGACTGGAAAGGGACAGGGAAGCTGGCCCTTGGCCAAGTGGGTGGGCTCCTGGCTGCCACCACCCACTGCCCCTTAGTGAAATGGGAACTCCCAAGGCAGTCCCCCTGCAGGAGGTAGACCTGGATAAGGGGTCACTACCCAGGGACGGAGCCATCATGAGCCAGTGGAGGAAATGTCTGTAAATCATTTGTTCTAACTCAGAATTAGGAACAGATTCATGGCTCTTTGGGGAGTAGGAACAAGGCCTTTCCTCCACAAAAGTGTTTCCCTGGGTCTGTCCCACCCAAACCTCACCCATAACTCCACCTTGATGCCATCTATGTGTTGAGGTGAATGGAGATTAAAGACTCGTCCTTTTACAGTCATGTCATTTGCACCTTGTTTGACCACATACCTACTCGGAGTCTCCCCAGCCCAGGCCCAAGGGGAGCGAAGATGCCTGCATGTGACCCCAGGTCACCTGGACATGGTGAAGAATGGATAAACCACCAGCTTCTTGATTCCCAACCAGCAGAAGCTGAGCATAAGTGACATAGTGGCTCTATGTCACCAAGTTCAGGTAGTTTGTTTTGCAGCAGGCCACCAGAATATCTTGTAAATTGCTGTGCAGGCCCAATAGGCAAAATGTACCAGGCTGCCCAGGAGCATTGGCTTATTGGCACATGGGGTGGCCCACCTGCCATGGGCTTCCTGGAATGAATGTTGAAGGGGGAGATTCAGTGGATCAAGATGTCCTGTTACGCCCCAACCTGTTCCCCACCTGGGGGCATCATGTTGCCCATGAGTGTTTACACAGTTCATAGTTCCTGCCTCTGGGATCAAAAATGACACTGTTACAGGAAGAGGCCATTCAGCGCATCAAGCTGCACATGTTCTCTGTGCCCTACTGAGTCCTCATAGCCTCCTTGGAGCCAGTGACCTTGGGCCTTCATTATAGACAAGGAAAACAGGGCCACAGCTGCTGAAAGATTGGAGCCCGTGCCTTGGTCTTGGAAGACACCCATTCCTTCTCTTCATTTAGTGTCCATGGTGCTCCCAGGCCTCTAGCCTTCCACCACTCATAATCCACCTCTTCCTCCCAAACCATCTCCGAAACTTCTGTGGCTCCCGTTGACCACAGGATGCGTGTGCACCTCCTGTGACACCCCTAAGGCTGTGTCCCCCCTCCACCTCCCTCCATCCCACCCTCCAGGTAGAGAAAGTCTAGCCCAGCTTCATCAGTCATCAGCCCACAGACAGGGAGCAGACCAGTTTTATCTGTAACCCCTACCAGTGTTGTCAGATAAAAGGCAGGATGCCCAGTGAATTTCAGATGAACAATGAATATTTTCTTAATATAAGTCTGCCCCAAATGTCACATGGGATATACTTATTAGTATAAAATGTATTTGTTTTCTGAAAGTCTCATTTAATTAGCCAACCTGTATTTTTATTTGTTAAATATAGTCACCCTCCCCAAACTGAACCATTTCAAAGCCACTTCCTGGTATCATCATTTCATTCAGGAAATACCTATTGAGTGACTGAGTCTTTGATGCTGAATGACTAGCAATTATGTCTCTCGCTCCCCTTATTCAAATGTGCACAATTTCTTACACACAAAATTCATGAGCATACTAAGGAGAACCTCACACCTGTCATAGGAAAGCCTAAATGAGTTAGGTCCGGTGCAATGGAATATGTGACCAGTTCTTATGAGCAGGACTGGGAGTTAGCTCTGTCTGCTGCACCCAGCCCAGGGCCAGGCACACAGGAGGAGCTCAATAAATGCTTGTGTATAAATTAATGTGCCATGGTACAAAAACAATACCCTCCCACAGGTTCCAATTCCAACTTCCCAATCCCCAGTGGGACACATGACTTCACCTTTCAGACCTTCTGTCTCTTTTTCATCAAAAGGGAAGTCGTGAACACTCTTTGGGGATTAGGCTTAATTCGTGGGGCCTTGTAGGTGCTAGGCCTCAATGGTCCCTCATCCAGGCAGGAGAAAGGGCACAGGGCCTTGGGGTCTGGGTTCTGCCCTGTCACCTCCCTGTCATTGCCCAGACGGAGGGCAGTGAGTCTGGGGTGGCAGAGCTGTACGGCTGCTCAGGGACACCCATCAATCTCTTTCTATGACCCTCTCAGCTCAGGGAATGCCTATGAATGCAAGCACAATGGCTCTGGGTTCGAATCCAGACTTTGCCCCGGAGCTTCTGTGTGACCTGAGGATCTCCGAGCCTGTTTCCCAATTTGTGACATGATCATAAGAGCACAACTTTAATATATCTTTATTGATTTCAGAGAGAGGAAAGGAGAGGGAGAGAGAGAGATAGAAACACCAATGATGAGAGAGTCATTGATCGGCTGCAGCCCGCAACCTGGGCATGTGCCCTGACCAGGAATTGAACCCCGATCGCCTGGATCCCAGGTCGACACTCAACCGCTGAGCCACGCCTGGCCGGGCAAGAGCACAACTTTAGAGTCTCTGTACACTTAAATCTCAGCCCAGAGCAGGGTCTTGCACATACAGGCCCTCACATTCCACTTGGGAAGCAAAAGGAGATCTGGACATTAGCAAGACCAAGGCGACACCCCCATGTGGGCCCTCCCAGGGTTTCAGGTGTCCTCTAGACTGGTAGAGGGGAGTAAGGACATCACCATGTGGCTGAGGCATGGAGAGGCGCCTGGCAACTTCAGCTCCTCATGAAGGGTGTCAGGTCTCCCCACTTTTACCTCACTAACCCCACCCCAAGTTCCCCCCGAACCAGGGTTACCACCTTTCAGCCCTCCTGTCACCTTCTGGCACCGCATTACTGGTGCACATACTTATGTTTGCAGATTCCACCACCCCGGGTCTGGCTTGCCTCAGTCATGCAGTGTGTGCTCAAGATGGCAGCAGCATAGGGAGCAGCTGAACTCATCTAATTGATGACTGAATGAACAGCTTCCGAACAGCAAGTGAGAAAGAGACAGAACCATAGGGTGGCAGGAGCTCTATTCAAGGGATTTGGCCTTCAAGGTCAGCACAGCAGGTTCCCAGCTACACTGCCTGGGGCCTTTTGCTTCCAAACAAAGGAACAACAGGGTGTCACCATGAGCACCTAGCCTCCCTGCCAAGGAGTCACTCAGGTCCACAGGCCAGAGCCCCAAGTGTTATGCCTGCCCAGCTCCAACCAACTTCCTAAACTACAAAACCTGCACATAACACCTACACAGAAGTTGCTTCTATGCCAGACCACTTTCTAAAGGGCAAACAGGAGAGAGAACATATAGAGAAGATTGGAGAGCAAACTGCAGAAACTCTCCCGATGACTGGGTCAGAGGGGCCCTGAGTGCCATTGTTTACATCCCCTCTACCTCTTTAGGGCAGTAGGGGCTCTATCCAGGGGCTTTGGTCTACCTACAAGGTTGCTCTGAACAAAGAAACTAAGCAGGATCAACAGGGCCTCACCACACTCACCTGGCCTCCCCACCTGGAGCCCACTCCAGCTCAGTGGGCCAGTGCCCCAAACACCTTCAGCTCCCACCAGCTTCCCAAAACCTCTGGGCTCATGCTGACTATACAGAGGCTGCTTCTACACCAGGCCATTTTATCAAGACTGGTAGAGACAGCTATTTCGTCTAATGGATATAAACAAACACAGAGATTAAACAAAATTAAATGGCAGAATATATCTCAACTGAAGAAACAAGAAAGATCTCCAGAAAAAGATAAGTAATTTTCCTGGTAAAGAATTCAGAGTCCCAAGAACAATGGATAGGGCTGGATTAAAACCTTTCACTAAAGAAGTTATAGGCCTGGGGCTTTACTACTCACCATGACCTGTCCACTTAGGAATTTATAATCAAATCACCCTAAGAGGTTACTTTCCATACAACCCCCCCTTTTTTTAAATCCTCACCTGAGGATATTTTTCCCATTGCTTCTCAGAGTGGAAGGGGGAGAGAAAGAGTGAGAGAGAAACATCAATGAAAGAGACACATGGATTGGTTGAATCCCGCTCCCGCCCACGCCCCAACCAGGGCGGGGATGGAGCCTGCCACGGAGGTACATGCCCTTGACCAGAATCTAACCGAGACCCTTCAGCCCATGGCCCGAAGCTCTAACCTCTCAGCCAGACTGGCTAGGGTAAGAATGAAACCTTAATTGCACCAGCATGGATGGACCTAGAGGGTGTTATGCTAAGTGAAGTAAGTCAGACAGAGAAAGACAAATGCCATATGAGTTCACTTATATGTGGAATCTTAAAACAAATACAAAAACAAATGAATAAACGAAAGAGAAAAAATAAAACATAAAGTCTGCCGGGATGCAGGAGTGAAACTATTGCTCCTAGTGACCCCGCCCCTCAGGCTCTCCTCAGGCAGCCACGCCTCCGGCCATCACACTGTCGATCCAGGACGCATAGCTCCCCACTCGAGTGTAGATACCCGGCTTCTTGCGGTTGCCGCACACGCGGGATCCCGAGGTGACCACGCCCTCGGCCACGCCGTCGCACACCAGTGGGCCCCCGGAGTCGCCCTATGTGGGACAGGGCCGTGAGGGGGGTTTCACCCGCACAAGCCCCCACGCCCTCAGTGTCACCTCGAGGCTCGGACACTGCAGTTCCCGCTCCTCCCGCCGGCCGACCGGAC